CTTTCAGTTAATGTTTAAGGCAACATTAACCGGATTCAATACTAGTATTTACCTATACATATACTATGTTTGTTTTCATAGCTCTATTTTTGCTATAATCAAAGTACAATGTATATAAAATGATTCAAAAATAGACTATAATGAAACCGTGTGTAAAAATTGTTGTAAAAATGTCTTTAGTCTACCAAGAGGACATGACGAATTCAGCAATTCCGTAATGATTAGGAGTTTAATTCAACAAAGATTGGTCACGACAAAATAAATAAACAAAAAACAAATATTAGAGACACCAACCAACAATAACCGCTGCATTTTAGTATTTTAACTTTGGACAGACACATGCGCCATTTTCTGTTGTAAGATATGTGTTTGCGCGCTCAATCCTCCCAATGACCGTAGTAGTTAGACATTAGAGGAAACTATACACATTTGTTGACAAATGCTTGATTACACAATTTATTGCGTGTTTATGTTAAATTGATTGTTCAAGAGTATAATCAATCATTATGATGCTTATCTATATATCAAAACGATGAAAACGTACAGTTTATATTTGCAAACTATAGGTGTATTGCTTTCGATCTGTATCGATCGTCAGTAATAGAAAAATAGGTAAAGCAATGAAAATAACCTAAATAAAAAAATTTTAGAAAACAAAACGATTCAGTAAATATGTGTAACCAATAAAAAAAAAATTATGCAAAGCGAAATAAAACTCTTGTAGGGGAAACACATGTTCATAAACCTCTCCCTCTCCCCCAACAGAAAATAAGACAAAATGAATTAATATACAATACAATAAATACTCGATGAAACAAGATTGAGAATTGTGATATGTTGATATAGTGTAAATTGTTTATTTATCTGATTAATAATTTTTTGAAAAAAGGTGTCACAGTTTATGAAAAAACCTATAATCATTGAAAAAGTGTACGTCAATAATAAAAAAAAATCGAGGATGTGGTATAAATTTCCTGGAAATATTTGATAGATAAAAATTGAAAAAAGGTCGTACCCGCAGAGGTCATTTTCTGTTAAAAATGTTAAACTCAAGTTTTCATAAATTATTAAACGATGGCTAAAAGTGACATAACGAAAATGGACAAATGGCAAAATTTGTAAATCATATTATAAAATAGTTGTACAATTAGTTGTCAGTAAGCTGATACAGCGTTTTGTATGTGTTGGCTAAGAAAAAAGGCTATTGAACGAAATCTGTTCTGTTGGTTATGTGTCCTGTTTGTTTTGATAAAAGGATGTGTTATGTGTACTTTATTGAGACATTATTCAAGATGTGAAAGATATAGAGGAATAAAAGACTTCATTAGGGCCAAAAATACGATCAAATTTGAAAGTTATCACACGTGACCTTAAATTTGTCCTAGCAATGTAAAACCATTTTAGTAAATAGAAACACATTTCACATTTGACGAGTTACAATGGCACAAACCTTGTATAAAATTGTGATGTTGATAAAATTTCTTGATTTTGATTAATTATATGAACTTTAATGTAAATTTAAAGTATTGGGAAAGTGTAAAAGTATAACAGAAATACGAACTCCAAGGCAAATTCAAAAGTCCATAAAAACTGACAAAATCTAAAAACTGTTGATGGACAGAACAAGTGAAAACAACTGCTATATTTCTGATTTGTTACTGGCATTTTCCGAAATAACTGGTACGTTAAACCTGGTTTTATAGCTATAAAAATCTCCCAATTTTATGACAGTTGTTTATAGTTCCGTTTTATTGACAATACTTGGTGAGCAACCCAAACAGACATAATAGGGTAATGTGACCATAATTTGGATCCAACAGCCAAAACTGTGTAAACATACAACACAACTGACTAGAAAATTCAAACAAACATACACATTAAACTTACAAAGACGCCATCGAAAACGGTGTAGATAGTTAATCTGACAATGACGTCAACAATAAAAGTTTTTGTCGTTAATAGTATTCATTTTCTCGATAGGGGAATTATTAAGTAAATATAAATACAAGGGTAAACAAAATAGAACAACACTGTAAAATAATTTGTGTCCGAATCGCACATCAAGACCCAACTGCACCAGGAATGCCCAAAGTCAAACAGTAAAACATATGATGTTTGGATGCACAAATACTGAGTCACGTCAAAAGTCATACGACTTACAGAAACCTAGTAGCCCGAAGACAAATAACGGAAACTATAGTAAAATATAAAGATACAAAACTTCAGCAGCACCTAGAATCTATCACTCAAGACTATCTTGTAATATTTGTAAAGTATACCCTGAATATTTATCTTTTAGCTCTTGCTACTTTCCGATGAATTTTTTAAAAAAAGGAATGGGAGGTTATTTGACAAAGCCCTGGCTCATTAATTGGTTGCTCAAACCAAACACCGATGACATTTTACAAAGTCCAAGTTGCAGCTGCAAGATCTTGGTTATCATATGAGTTCAGAAATGTAAACTCGTATTTGTGCAGTCATTCAACAACGTATGTGTGCCTAGATTATTAAGTTAGCTACTATTAAGCTTCTCTAAATGTATGTTGCTGTTGCTTCTTGGCTGAGCATAATGTTTCCACAAAGAAAAAAATATGGACTTGTTTAAACGCATATCTTGATGTCATTGTGACTTCATAGCATTATACATTTCTTGTCATATATTAATATATCTTTCACTGCAAAACTAGAAGTTCTAGTTCTCGAAAACTTATTTTCCTTTGCCAAAAAAAGAACCAAAATGTCCTTTCATCGTTCTCGATATTAGACAAGAGGTACCGATGTAGAACAACAAAATATTAGTCGATGAGAATCGGACAGAAAAAAATGACTGAAAAGGAAATAGACAATATGTATTCACTAAACTGCTTAAAACACTTAAGACTGACACAAAAGGGGGCAATCTAGTCTTGCTACCCTTTTGACATCCATCTTGGTGCTCATGATAACTATCATTTCGTTGATACGTCGCGTTCGGTAATGTTACAGTCAGGAAAAAGCTAAAATATATGGTCATTTGTGGCACAGATATCCCGTAGCAATTAACCAAATAATAATGGGGTCCATAAAACTTTAGAAAAGACGACTTCAACTGTACCACGAAAAACCTTGTGTTCATAGTTTTTTGAAAACAATTAACCTCTATTACGTAAACCATGCAACGAAACGCAAACTCTGGAATATCATATCGGATTGGATATATATGTTCTATGTGTAGGCAGTCCTAGAATGTTTTTACATAATCATATGAAAATATATATATAGGAAAACTGAAATAATGTTTTTGTCGTAAAGTTTAAAACAACCTTTAATATTAATTTTAAAATGTAAGATGTCAAAAGATTGAAAAAAAGAGGAGCGCATTTCACATTATAACTACTATATGGTTTACTTGTAATTATATAGGACATAAAATATTTGTGAACAATTAGAAATCACAGAATATTTTATTTAGAATTTATCTTTTTTTTCAAATGAAAAAGGTACCTTCTCCAGTCTTCACATATATTCAGACCTTCCAAACATTTGCCTTTGTGGATAATACAGACTATAAGCAAAACAAAGTTAACTGACATTTTTTGTTTCGATACTGGCAACGTTCATTATCACTCTTAAAAAAAGTAAAACAACAAAAAAACCGAACTCCAAGGAAAATTCCAAACGGAAAGTCCTTTAACAATTGGCAAAATCAAAAGCTCAAACACATCAAACGAATAAAAAACAACTGTCATATTCCTGACTTGAAATGAACGGAAATCAGGAAACATTTTGAAGTATATTGAAAACTGTCGGTACATTGAGTCATGAAAACACGACGGATGCCTAAGGATTGAATGAATAAAAACAACTTCCTACTCGTCCATAAATTGTAAAATGAAAAAACACGAAAAAGGGGAATGGTACAGCAAAAATAATAATTTCTATTCAGTTTCAATCTATCTACAGAAACAAGCTCAACTGGAACGATTTACAGAGTATGTAGCTTAGATAGAATACTGTGCTGCATATGGGTCACAATTTAGAATTATTGTATGAATATGTTTCAATAAAAAAAAGAAAATGTGGTTAAATTGCCAATGCAAACTCGAAATTATCATATATCTGTCGTTAGTTCATACAACATTCAGTCTCATTCACTCTTAGTATTCTCTTATTGAAAATCTGTTAAATAAATTTCATTCTTAACGGAATTTGATTCTTATCCAGCCTTTTCATCTAGATTGATTGTTTCTTTGTGTTTCATTTTCGGTTTCTAGTATCTCAACCCAACGACGTATCACTGATTTGTATGTCTGTGATGTATGTTTACACAGTTTTGGTTACTGGATTCAATTATTGTCACATATACATTTTATATAAAAATATGGAGATGTGGTATGATTGCCAATGAGACAACTATTTACCAACGTTCAAATAAAATGAATGTAAGCAATTATAGGCAATCCTACGGCCTTCAACAATGAGAAAAACCTATACCGTAAAGGCGGCTATAAAAGGCCCAGACATGAAAAATATAAAACAATTCAACTGAGAAAACTAACGGGTTATGTCTGTGTCGGGTACTCACTCAATTTTGTCACTTTAATGGCACTATAAACAACTGTCATACTAGTGGGTGGTAAAGCTATAAACCATGTTTAACCTACAATTTTTACTACTTTAGAAACATGACAGTTGTTGTCTATTGGTTTCGTTGGAAAATAAAGTCTAACGTTTGATTTTGTCACTTTTTATGGACTTCGTTTTGATAACACTTTTTTGGGAACTCATTTGTTTAATGCCCAGGAAAATATTCAAGATAAAATTTAAAAAATCGCAACATCACTATGAACACGCATCTTAACATTTTATACTTAGTCTATGAATCTTTTTTTTAAATTTACGACATGGTTTTACTTTAACTGACCATTTAATTGTCATTCATAACCCTCAATAATTTAAAAAAAAATGAATCATGCACACATTCTGAAATGCACTTATTATGCAAAAAAATATATTTTCAACAACGTATAAAACATTGTACCATTGATCTGTTACTTTTTGTCCGAAAAGTTTATGTTTTACTAGGAACCTGATTAAACATTGATTTTTGTATCAAGATGGTGCACTTTCTCCCTTATATCTTTTGAAAATGAAAATAAAAGACAAAAATGAAACAAATCTTCCAATGCTGTTCGACGATTAATACAAATATTTGACTATCTTTAGAAATTCTCAATTGTAGTATTATTTAGTTTCTTTTATTCATTTCTAATATATTTGTACATGAATAAAGACAGGAAGGATAATGTATCACTATGTTGTTGTTTCCTTTATTCATAGTACATGTAGTAATGTGTATCGCTGGTTTTAGGAACCAAGCTAACGTACGGGTTGAGATGCCTGCAGCGATCTTCATTTCCATTGCTACCAATGATAGTGCCATACGATCCATTTATAACTTGTAAATATGAGCTACTAGCTACATGTGTGTCTTCGATCAGATGGAATTCATCATGGCCTGCATTTTCCAAAACGTTTGGAAATCCGTTTTCCCCAATGATCATATTTGCATTTATCTTGTTTCGTTTATTACAAAAGCAGGTAAAGCCCAGCCACCAATCATAACTATTATACCTGCTATTGCTGCCCAGAAGATAAGCACATTCAATTCAAAGACTGAAAAAAACCAAAGATATCATACATGTATAATGATGAACTTGTTTGTTAATGTACATATGCATATATATAAACAAGTCTAAATTGAAAACAACGTTCAAACCTATGATTGCGTTGGATAAAAACCGCAAGTTTTATACGTGTTCATGCAAAATAAATTTCTTGGTAGAGGGTTCTAAAAACAGCACAAACAACACATGTATATATGATCAAAACCTACAAATTTCAGAACTAAACCGATTTCAAGTTATTACTGTTTGCTCATTTTTGCCGAACTTTAAATCGATATTAATTAATACGTGCCTCAAAGTCTTCTATATGAAGTTACATCATTTCGATATACAACGAAGCTAAAAACGGGAATACAGTTTTAACAATTGAAACTGTCAAACTTGAATAAAATAGAACAAGTCATTTTCATGTGTCTGAATTAATTGGTGACTTCGTTATAATTTGGACCCGGAAAGCGCGATATATGTTTGATCTATGTGATTTACAAATAAGTAATCTTAATAAAGATATATTGTACCAGAAAAAGGATAATTGGAACTTGTTTAAAATGTCATATCATGTTAGATGTACTTAAAAATGCCCAACCAACAAATAAGTAAGCGAAGTTGTTACCCGTCATTGATTCCACCTCTGATCTCGTTGTATAATTGACATCTCCTACAAAGATAATTTAACATTAGTAATATAATAACATAAACGGTACCAATTTTACTGCACCAGATGCACATTTCCACATTGATTGCTTATTCGGTGATGCTCTATGTTTAAATATTTAAAAATACAAAACATATTCAAAAATTGATGAAATATGATTAAATGAATAAAAACCAATTAGTTACTAATGAAAGAAAATAAATACCATTAATGAATATATAAAAAAAATCAAAAAACGTTTAAACAAATACTGAAATCAAAATAAACACAAAATACTTTCGTTTTGTTGATTGATCACGTTATGCATCTGAGTACACGAGATTATCACGTTTGGTGGCGGATTGGAAAACTCAATACAAATGTAAGCTGTAACCTTCATTTTACAAATGTATGCATACAACACTGACATCGAAAAGGAAAAATATATGAACGACAAAGATAGACGCCAGTTACAGTAATTACGACATTGTGCTGAAATAGCCATTGTGCAGCCTGTTTTAGTAAAATACCAGCTTATAGTTCTAAACGCCAGAGGCTTGTTTCGTCTACATAAGACTCATCAGTACCACTCGAATAAAAAAGTTAGAAAGCCAAATAAAGTACGAAGTTTAAGTGCATAAATATAGCATGTTGATGACTCAAAATAACAGTTGTATATCTGATAAAATAAAAAAACAAATCACACAGTTTTTAAAGATCTTTTATAAAAATAAGTGATGACCAAGACAATTGAACTAGATTTTCTATTGCAAAAAAAAAGGCGAAACATAAAAATTCACCAGTCTAGATAAATTGAAAATGTCCTGGCAAAAAAAAAAACGAAAGACGAAAAAGAGACAATCAGGAATGAGTAATACAAAGTATGAAACCTGGTACGTGCCATTTGTAAATATTAGTCTGAAAATACCTACTGCTAACTTCAAACTTTGGAACGCACCCTTTCACATGATCACACCTGCGGAAAATAAAAAAAAATGAAATGTCAATATACACGGGGCATAATATGATAGCAAGTTCACATTCATTATATATATGAAAACTTCGTATCAAATAAACATTGCAATTGCTATCTTACCTAAAGAGATAAACGAATTCAGGACCTTTCATAGCTGACTATGCGGTATGGGTTTTGTTCATTGTTGAAGGCTGTACGATGACCCATAGTTGTTAACTTCTGTGTTATTTGTTCTCTTGTGGAGAATTTTCTCATTGGCAATTATACCACATAATCTTATTTTTTGATCAACAGGATGTGGATCAAAAACTGCTTACCCTTTCAAACCACCTGATTTCACCTCCGTTTTTTTTGTTGCTTATTGCTTAGTTTTCTATGTATTGCTTGTTTATTTACTCTATCGGATAGTTTTTATCGTTTTCTTCAACTTATACATTGTGAATGTTCCCTTGGTATGTTTCGCCTTTTTTTATTTTTTAACAAAGACTGATCTGAACTTTAAAAAATATTCGTATATCAATTTAACACAGTAGTAAAATATTTAAATATTGTATATGCGCTATCGCCTTTGAACTAGAATCATATTTAATTCGACTGCTATGGTTTAAATTGGGTATTTTCATATGAAGATTTAAACACAATACCGAGTTTCTCCAAGTTCACTCACTAGTCACATGATAACGTTTTAAAGAAAACCATGGTTTGGGTCATCATCAAAACGTCGTCTTACAGAAAAATCATGAAATTACAAAAGATATCGGTTTATATATGAAAAAAAAAATCAATTATTCATTTTATTTATTTTTTCTTTTACCGTTCTTCAATCTCAGTACAGTTGCAACGGGCCAAACATCTTTCTCCAAATCTGTTGTTCGGACAATGGAAACCCGTTTTTCCACTTATTGATATAAAACCAATTTTGCACTCTGCAAACCACATAAACAAATATGGTTAAATGAAATTTTATTTTGTATCCCAGATTTAATGAAATTTTAAACCATTTCGAAAGATATGTTGTAACGTTCAATCATGGAATGTGGAAGATTGTACGTAAGTTCAAAGTTAGAATGCTCAGATGTAGAAAAATTGTGTGAGTTGAGAGTTCCATTGAATATTTCAGCCGGATAAGTTCTTTCTTAAAAATAACATTGCTAACTTTGTGCTCTTAAGTTGAAAACAAATAGCTTTTATTCCTGATTGACCAATGTATTTATTTACAAGACCAAAATGAAAAGAACGAGTTGTACAAGGCAAAAAACCATCTATATTACTTGGTTCGGCATAAATTGATTACTATGATAAAGTTCAGTCATTGAAATCGTTCATGTTGAGATATTTTCAATTGGAAGTTAAGAATCGAGTGTGAAACTTCACAGATATCTGAAATACTTCATAACGCGTAATACGATACTGTAATTGATGCTATGTCTCTACGTTCAAAAGGTAGTTCGATGTACCCTGAAAATAGCTTTGCATATCCATCATTCCCTATGATTCTCATCAATAACTGTTCATTATTAGTTACATTATTTCTCATTAGATAACAATGAATCTTATTGAAATAACTTAAATAAGTAGGAAACCTATTATATGTAAAGGATGTCCTTAATTATAGTTATAGTCTTTTCAATTAGTGTTGTTCGATTAAATACAATTATATGCCATGTATGCCATGCAATGTTATGAAGTATGAAAGGAATTCATAGTAATACATTGTAACATGGTATAGTTCTATCCTGCAATAGGTTTTGGTGATTGGCTACACAAATTGTCAATAAAATGAGATAAGAAAAAAATTATTGTTAACATACCTGTACATGTACCATTTATGTCTTCATAGTCCGAACAGCAATACTCTCTATTCCTATAGTAATAAAAACATGCATAAACATAATTCAGTTAAAAAAAAAAGAAGAGTATCGTGTGCGTTTTTATGCTGTACTTTTTTGTTAATTATGTTAAAACTCCTTTTGCACTGTGAAGATACATCAGACCAACTTTACCATTTATGTATTATAACGGTCATAATGTTGATTTGTATCCAAATCTTGAATGATATATTGAATTCAATAAGCTGCTTAAAAATATTGTAGTATCTTTAAACTTTACCTTTCTGTGTCCATACATAATGTACTGGGAATACCTTCTAAACTATTTCCTTTGTCACTAAAACAAAGTATGAGAATCATGTAAATAACTGACATTGTTTTACAGTCGACAAGGATATCATATGCAAACTGTATCAAGTGATCCAAAAGCCGGAAGTATTGCTATATTAATTCCTTAAATATAAGTTATTATACATGATATAGCCAATGAAAAAAAGTACAGATCGGATGCGTCTAAGTTGAATGGAACCAACTTCCTTATAATGATTAAGTACTCATTAACCTTAATTTGAAAAAGAAGAGGCAGATTAAGGGGCAATGTTATAATTATTTTTCAAAACTTTATCGTCATTTCAATTTAACGTTGATTTGTTAAAAAAACGTACATGTTTTTCTTTTCTTTCTTTCTTTTTTGTCTGAAAGCTGCAAACCTTACTATATACAAATTAGAAATTGTGTTTCGTAGGTTTGAGACGTGTTAAATCAGGAAAATCAATTCCAAGGGTTTCATAAAGGGTCAAATGTTTTCATTCAATTGGGAGAAATTGTTTTTTATGTTTGTTTTCAAGTTGTCATGTGCCCTATTACCAACTTAACGTGATGTGGTAAAAAGAGGTAACACATTACATAGTGGTGATTTCAAAAACAGCGTTCGTTACGTTAATAGTATAATTCTAATCTACAAAAACAAAGTTCGACGTCTTTGAAAGCGGATAATTTGAATCGACAACAAAGACAGAAAAAATCCATTTGACATGATAATATACGGTATTATCAGCTGCATTTAGCCAAACCTTTCGGAATTATGGGTCTTCAATGCTCTTCAACTTCGTATTAATTTTTAGTTGTTTTTCTAGAAAAAACTGTAAAGTGGAGGAAAATCGTCTAATATTTAATAGAAGTATGTGATTAATGTTTTATCAACTTTTTGACTACAGTACTAAGCTAATACGTTATGAAAAACAGTCTGAAAAATTGTGTTAAATTAGAGGTTTTGTTGAACATATTTTATTTAACATATATCATTATCACTCTATTACTACTAATATCCTGCATACCAAGAGACCTTACTGTACGGTTATGTGTTAAAAAATGTGACCTAAAAAAAAAAAAAACATTTTTGGCACGATTTCTAGGTAATAAGATTTCCTTTATAGATCACATTTTTAATTTGTTGGAATAGACCGCATGTGTTTCTAACTGCAATTATGTCGCGTTTTCAACCTCTGCCAAATAATCTTTATTTTCGCACCGCGGTGATTATGTGTATATAATTCATTTAACATGGTCTCAACAAAAAAAATCTGGTGTACCACCTATACCAGAACAACTATATTTTACTTGCCAATTTATATGTTTTATTGGAGCTGAAGGTGATTTTATATGAAACATACTTAAGAAAACAACAGTTAAGTAACATTTGAATCGTACTATTTGACTATCAAAACTGTTTACCCCATAGAACAAAGTGTAGAACGCAGTATGTATTCGTAATTTCCAATGTTATTGCACATTAATCTATGTTCTCACTCACAAATGCTGTTTACTTCGCAAAACAGAATTACATAACGAATCAAAACACTTATCTGAATTCATAAAAGTATGATACCTCGACAGAAACAAGGTTCTTATTATTTATGTATTTTTCCTAAAACTGAAATAACCAAGCATTTCCTGAATTAAACTAATAAAAAGCTTTATTGCTGTATATCGATTAGGCAATGAATAAATAAAAAAAAAAGTGACAAAAGATTTTTTTTTATTAAGAGACAAAATTGTTAGAAGCATAACAACACATACAATATAACATATATACATTTTAGCAACAAATTATTACTGAATAAAAAAAACCTATTCAACAAATGAAAGGATCAAACAGGCCAATAACAGATGTGTTAATGTAAATATATTATATGCAGTACAAAATGTCAGATTTTTACCATGTACAAGTCGGAATACAGTACTTTTGATTTGATTTTTATCCTACTTTAATATCAGTACTCTACGGAATTGAACGTTCCTATCCTTTAACGGACAAATGGACTGCATAGATTGTATTAAAACACTTACATATATAATGTAATTCAAGATAGTGTGTAAAAAAGGCATTAAAGTGTATTTTGTCTCACATTTCTGATACTCTTTGTGTTTGTTTGATAATATAATATATGAACCCCAATGCATTTCTTGAATCGTTATTGTTTCTTAAAAACCGTTTCACGTATGTTTTTAATGGTAACTTTATTAAACATATCTGTGATATTGTTCTCTACTTTTAATAATGCATCTCCATGGTCGCAGGGACTAAGCTTTGGTATTATTGAGCATGTTGAGCGTTACTACATGCAGTTTCAGTTCCACTTTTTGGCCTTTCTTGATGCTTGATTCAGTCAATACCTCTGAATACGCATAAGAGTTTGTGTTTCGACCTGCTAATATGTTGTCATCAATGGTATGATAATTATGCATACTTTTCTTTTGTACTGATGCATTTTGATTTCCTTTGCATGAAACTCTTAGAATTCATCATTGGTAATTGCCGTGTTTGGTTTTTGCCTTCTTCTCCTGAACTGCACACAAGCAAAACAGCCCCCAACCAGCAGTATAACTCCTGTTATCCCTCCGCAGTAGACATACCATTTCAACTTTAACACTATAAAACAAGAAATACATACATGTTGATTTCGCTGTAGTGTGTGTATGTTTGTGTAAGTGTGTGAAATAAAAAAGTATGCTCGGAAAGATATATAAAACAATGGAACACAATGACATTCTTTGGGTCGTTGTATTATGTGCGTTAAGCAAATCACATTATTTGGAAAGGTACCACACTAAATAGCTCTTTTACTACAAGTACTCATAAGGTTAACAATGATGTAATATAATATGTAATTAATCCCTATTGAATATAGATTACTAAAAAAGAAGGATCAAACAACAACAACATTGTTATTGTAAAGAAAACGAATTAAAAATAAAAAAAATTAACGTGGTGATTAGTATTCAATGATACTTTTAACCATTTACTGAGGTCATCACCGGGTGTGAAAAACCAAGAAATAGTCTGTTTTGAAACTTTGTAACAAACAGCCCTGGAATCGACATTATTCCCTCAGACGATAATGACCAATTTTACGCCCTCTTGAAAGGGCAAACGGTTCAGGTACATGGGAGGTAATGATGTTGTTACCGTCAAATGTTATTTTTCACGATGTCAAACTTAAATATTGGGAAAAGATGCATTTTTCGCATGATTTGAGTCAATAGCTTGAAAACGAGTTAATCGACCCCTCTCTTTCAAAACAACATTTGGTTTGATAATGTATGAAGATTACTTATACTAATTTTTATGAACATATCACCGATGATTTTATTTTTCAATTAGATAACCATGCAGCAAAAAATGCCGTATTTTTTTCTAAAATCATGAATATTTAATAAACACGAATTGTTTCAAAGGATTTTTACACAAATTAATAGTATTCTTATGTAAAGAAGATGTTCCAAATGTTTTCACAAAAATCCATTTGTGTTTATCTTTTGAAACAAACAAAGTTAGGTATGTCTTTACAAAGGATAGCAATGTCCAAGAAACCGAAACGTTGAGTAAATTATTTTTAAATTTCGACCATATTTATCTTTAAAATAAGCACATGAAGGTTTAACATATTTGAATTCACTAGGGGGGAAATAGTTTGTATGCAAATGTTCGTCAAAAAATCACCTTGGGATCGAAACTGTATCGTATGCTCTTAAAATACAGGTATAGGCGTAAGAAAGGTGCTTTCTTGTGTATCCTGTCACTTTGAACGTTATAATTGGAGACTTTGACAGTAGATTTTTAGAAAACTTGTAACCGACAACTTAGCACACACATAACTATGATTTATCAGTGCTTATTACTGTAATAACCCTAGCATACCCAGGCCGTTCAGAAGAAAATAATGTCCAAAAAAGACACAGATTTGTCAAGTATCGTTTTAATATTTGCTGATGGGTACTACAGAGCAGTACTTGAGTATTCATTCCTATGGGAACGAAGTGTGCGCCTCTCCTTGCCGACCTCTTCTTATTGTTTTATATGAGTCGGAGTTCCTTCAGACACTTGTCTCAAACAAGAAGATAAAAAAAGCCAGATCATTTAATTTCACATTCAGATATATTGATGGTGTTCTTTCCATTAACAATCCAAACTTTTCTGATTCGGTTCTCGAATATGACATAAGCGGTCATCTCAGTACCAGAATCATTTTTTAATTTTGAAATTCCCCCCACCTTATTAGCGATATACCAACTTCACCTGCATATGGGATATACATTTCCCAACTCATTCGGTACTCAAGAGCTTGCAGCTGCTACTCAGAATTTTTAAAACGCCACCAGTGTACGAGCAGAACGTTTTTGAACCAGGGTTATGTTAAAGAACGTCTCGTCCTTTTTCTAAAAAAAGTTCGTCGGAAGATACCAAGACCTTGTTGATAAATATTCCGTATCAACTTTACAAACAATACACGATGGTCCTGAAGTATAGACTCTAGGTACTGACGTTGTTGATCATCTTAGTTACGTGTTATAGTGTTCTGTTATTTGTCTTTATAAATTATTAACTTTACTGTTTAGTCCATTATTTGGTAATATCCTCTTGGCGTGGCTCGGTATTTATAAATCCCGCCATTGTGTTATTGTGCTATCGTCATTTTTGTATTCTCGTCTTTCATTTCTGCTTATGTGATTTGTCTATATGCCATTTTGTTTTTCTTTGTTGGCATATTTTTTGTTTGTTTTATAGTAATTAGGATTATAACATAATGCAGAGTGCTGTACCCTTATTTTTGACATTTTCACCTATTATGTCTGTTTGGTTTGTTCTCACATTGTTGTCATTGTTGGGATTGTATGCGACTGTCATACAAGTGAGAGGTTTAGCGAGCTATAAAACCAGGTTTAATCCACCATTTTCTACATACGGAAATGCCTGTGCCAAGTCTGGAATATGACAGTTGTTTTCCGTTCGTTTGATGTGTTTGAGCTTTTAATTTTGCCATTTAATAAGGGACTTTCCTTTTTTAATTTTCCCTGGAGTTCGATATTTTTGTTATTTTACTTTTTATGAATGTTGGTTGACATCCCTAAAACATACTTAAAGCATTAACTGTACCATTTTATCTGCACCTGATGCGCAGTTCGCCAATTAATGTCTCTTTGGTGATGCTAGAGGCACAAATATTTGCAAATGCAAAGCTTATCAACCAGAAAGGACAAAAAGAATAGTTAAACTTTAGTTATTTCTTTTAATGAATAGAAACCTTAAATCTCACTTAGATGTATCAAATATTTCTTGATTATCACACATAAGTAAAAATCTTACCCGTCTGTGTTTCAGCAAAACTCTCCGCTGTAGTTCTAAAAGAATAAGCGGTGTTTTCTACAAAGAATATATAACGCAACTTTTGTAAGATACTGATTTTATGTTGAACAAAAACGTAAATATCGTTTAGATATCAGTTCAGCGGAAAAATGTTTACAGGTGAAATAAGAGTATAAAATTGATTACAAGGTTGCATTTAATTTTTTTTTTAAATAACTTTTATGGAAATAAAGGGAAAACACCTAACAGCATACCGATGAGTCGAGTATCCTTTTGATATTCGTGACTCGGTTCTACCCAGCGATGTTCGAGTATTCGAGTACTTGTCGACATGCCTTAAAACTACTGAACATAATTATTTCTTTCAATGAGAAGAACCGTTACTTTCTTTTTAAGATGTATGAAATATATCTTGACTATCAACATGATCAAAACTTAAGCAAAAGTGGTACCCGTCTGTGTATCGGGAAAGCCTTTCTCCTGCGTTCATGTGGAATCATCTGTGTTTTCTACCAACTTCTGTAATATACTTATCATGCTTATGTTGTATTGAGCAATAGCATGAATATTTTTTTTATCTATGTCAGTTTAATGGAAAAAATGTTCTAATAAGTAAAGATTAGAGTAATATAAGTTGCTGGCGAGGTTTACATTTATCGCTTAAACTTAGATTCTGAATAGGAATTTTTTAATTTCCAATACATAATGCAAGTCAACCGCCTTGATACATTACATACTGATTTGCATATTTACTTACGAAAGTTCTAAAGCAGACTATCAGAGACAAAAAAACCAAAACACTAATATATTCCCATATAGGAATAGTGTATTTATCTAAAAGAAATTAAAACATCGATGACAAGAAGTCATGAAAGACAAAAGTTCACATCTATATCCAGTTGATTGACGAATGATCTAAGAAAATACGGATGATGGAGCCATGTTCACATCTAATATAAGTATTTGGTTACTTACACTGCAAATTCAACCTGAGACTTATAATGCATTACACTTGGACTAGAAGCTTAAGATTTATTGCCAGTCACCCTGCAGGAAAACTCGAAATTGAGATTACTGAGTCTTTAGTTTTCGATGTAGTGTTATGTGGACTTGTTCGTCTTTTTGTTTTTTGCAATGACGTTGTTACTTTTTATCGACTTTCGAGTTTAGATTATATCAGTGGTATGGTCCCCCTTGTTTCAAGAAAAATTCGTTGTTAAATTAACTAAATTCCAAATAAACACCTCTCTACTTATTGAATAATTGAAGAGATAGAGAAAAAGAGAAACGATTTCAGTGTCTAATCTGATTGTGATTATAAACTAGTCGAACTTTAATTTCAAAAGCAGTTACTGGTGCTCGGAGAATCCGACATGACCCTAAAAGGCATTTTATATGATAATATTCTTTAGCATTTTGAATTGATACAAAATTAAAGGGTAGAGCCAAAGTTGTACTAAGAAAAAAACATCACTGTTCTGCTGGCCTGACTTTGATGCATGTGCATGTATTTGTACTTTGTGAGATTAATTTTCCCCTTATTCATATTGTATTATATGATACAATATATATTGAGTTTATAAAACTCTATTTTATTGAGTATACTATCTATAAAGACCAAAAGGGAGTTGTTGGTTTATTTATACTTATGAGTTTGAATATCCCTGTGGTATGTTCTACCTTTTTTCGGACAATATATAAATAACACATAGCTGAGAGGGTGATAGAGCAGATTTTTACCCCGAGAAAAAACATTGTCAACTGAGGTGTTATTTAATTTATTATACTGAATGTTCTGTTATTACTAGATATAGGAAGATGTGGTATGAGTGCCAATGAGATAACTCTCCATCCAAGTTACAATTTATAAAAGTAAACCATTATAGGTCAAGGTACAGCGTTCAACACGGAGCATTGGCTCACACCGAACAGCAAGCCTTAAAGGGCCCCAACAAATTACTAGTGTAAAACCATTTAAACGGAAAAACCAACGGTCTAATCTATATAAAAACGAGAAACGAGAAACACGTATGAACTACATAAACAGACGACAACTACTGTAATCAGATTCCTGACTTAGGACAGGTGCAAACATTTGCAGCGGGATTAAACGTTTTAATGGTACCAAACCTTCTCCCTTTTCTGAAACAATAGTATAACATCACAACATAGAAAAACACACTATAAAATATCAATTGGAAGGCTTAACTCAATCAAAAAACGTAAATTAACACACAATGAACGAATAAATTTGACCTGTGACACCTGAATGCAAATACACAGTTAATACAAACTTACAAGGGATAAATAATTAAAGTCAAAAGTAAATAAACAGGTTTAAAGTTAAAGTATGATATCACTGTGAAATTTCAAACAATTTATAGAAAATCATCACTTTTGAAGAAACCTGCGTCATATTATACACAGGTAAATGAAAATAATTTTGTTGTTAAGTATACTTCTTCTTCTGTGTGTATAAAATCTTCCGTTTAGGAATACCAAGAAATTTCTTTAATATCAATAAAACTAATCTAACACTTGGTACATATGGGGTGAATATGTCTATTAAATTTCAAATTCAAAGTAATAAACTATGTCGTCTTGTACATAACAATCATCCGTACACTTGAGCAAGCGACTCCATGAAGGGTAATAGAGTATTTGCCATGGGAAAGAGTAAAATTTCTCCCTCGTATTAACCAATCAAAATCTGGCATTTTGACATGAAGTATAATTAAATAGAAATAACATTCATCTTTCATCTCATAATAACTTTATAATATAAAAAATGTATTGTTTTGAAACTAAGATGCAAATCATTTGGAAATGGTGCGTGTGACAACGTGAGATAGAGAGAAGCCGCATATGTTGTGGTTGCATTTCATATCTAGCATTGCTTTAAAGAGATTTTGAATGGTTAACTCAAGAAATACAGAGTAAGGCATACACGAAAAGATAAGATATTCACGGAGCCGGTAAAAAGCTTAGTTTTCGTTATAGCAGAAGAATACCGTAACTTTAATAAAATAAATCCATCATAAAAATCGAACAATTCTTATTGTACCTGCATTTAATGATATTGCACAATATTAAAAATACGTCAAACTCTATAATGCTTCATTGTATTGAATGTCGAAGAACAAAACGGCAACGTGAAGGTCACTTGCATTGAACCTCATGTGGAATTATCTCCATATAATAACATTAATTGAACGTGTTGATCATGTTGATAACAATCATTCAATAGGTAGGTGAACAGTAGATTCATTTAATGTGTCAGCAGAACCTTTTATCCATTGTGTGTTCAAGTTGAAACATGCACATTGTAGCTGTGCCTGATTGTGAATAAAGGAGATATAATCTGATATTTTCTTTTCATCTGATGTGTTTCTTGTTATGAAAATGAAGAAACTAAAAGATTTACCCGTCAATGCTTCAGAAAGACTGTTCTCATTAATTTGAGTAGATAAGGCAGCGTCTTCTACAATAATATTACATAAATATGTGTTATTGAAGATAGTTCTACTGATAGGAAAAGTATAAAGAAAATGGTATGTCTGGACAAAAATAAAAGGTCGAAATAAAAGAATCAAGATTCTGACTTTGGACGCTAATAAAAAAAAATCAGATTATTCGTATGATATAATGACGCGGTAGGCAGTATTTGATAAATTGTAGGTCTTAAAATGCTTTTTATATAGTTATTGGATGGCTTATGATTAGCTACAAACCGCAATTACAAAACAAAAGAAGGCCCTGTCTATTCAGTACGATAATGTGATTTATTATACTTCATGTCAAAATGCCAGATTTTGATTGGGTAATACGAGGGAGACAATTTACTCTATCCAAGGGCAAATACTCTTTTACTCTTCACGAAGACGCTTGCTCAAGTGTGTGCTTTAATAAAAACGAATGGTTGTTATGTACAAGACATCATAGTTTATTACTTTGAATTTGAAATTTAATAGCTTAATATTCAGTATAATAAATTAAATAACACACATCTGAGAGGGTGATAGAGCAGATTGTTATCCCTCGAAAAGACATTGTCAACCTTGGTTTTGCCTCAGTTGACAATGTTTTCTCGGGGTAACAATCTGCTCTATCACCCTTTCAGCTATATGTTATTTATAAAATAAACAGTTTAACTCCTCCTTTAATTTTTATGTATGTTTGTTTTTTTTAGTCACCTGTCTTGTACAAGTGAGAGGTTCAGCTAGCTTTAAAACCAGTTTTGACCCATCATTTTTTTCGGACAGTGCCTGTACCAAGTCAGGATTATGGCAGTTGTTTTTCACTTGTTCCGTTGATTGAGAGCTTTTGATGTTATCAGCTTAAATGGATTCCCTCTTGTTGAATTTGTCTTTGAGTTCAGTAATTTTGTTTATTTTTTTCGTGGCAGGCTATACTCGAATGTAAAGTTACGTCCAAGGTACAAAATGTACAGTTGACACGAGGATACATCACTTTGCACGAACATTATATATATCTTCAAGTTCAACTATATTTGTTAGGTGGACGATATTTGACCTGTCTTTTGAGGTCAGCTCACTTCAATGCTACAGTTAGGTAATCAGTATTTTTTCAGAGCTCCATATACATTTGCAAAGAATTTATTCTAATTTTCATCATAACGAGGATATGCAAAACCAAGCATGATCAGATTCATTAAAGTTTTAATAAGTGTTTCGATGAAAATACTTATCCATGACTTGTATAAAAAAAGACAAACAAGTTCACAAAACAATACATTTAAAACTAAGGACTAATCAAATTAAACTCGTAAGAACTGGTAAGTAAATGCTGCTATAGTCTAAAATACCTACCGCCAATTTCAAACTTGTGGAACGCACACAATCACATGATCACACCTGCGTGAATAAAAAAAAACACAAACAAAAAAAACTGACATTTCAGGAGGAATAATATATTTGCATATTCACGTTCATTATATTTGAAACTTAATTATCTGATAAACATTGCAATGGCTATCTTACCTTGAAGATCTTGCCTTGATGGATAAAGGAAATTAACACGACTGGTGCTATATATGGAACAGGAAATGCTCACCCTTTCGTGGCACATTAATACAGCTTTGTTTTTAGCGGGGCTCTAATTGCTCAATCGTTATTTTTTATTTAGTGTTTTGCGGACTAGTTCGTCTTTTTGTTGTTGTTATTTTTGTAGTTCGCGATGGCATTTTCATTATAATGTTGTTTTAAAATCATTGCGGTTTTTTATATTGTGGGTTTCAATTGATTCACTTGTTGAGAGTTTGAAACACTAGTTTTTTTCTTCCTTGTAAAGAACAAGTTCAAAATATACATAGAGCTATTAGTTGATCCATTTAGCATACATCAATTATGTCACCTCCTTTATCACATTATTTTGATGATACTATGTGGTCCCTTTAGTAGCTTATTTCATGTGCGATATAGCCTTGAAGAAAAGCAAACATCTAAGTCCCTATAAAATGAGGTCTTAAATGGCCGTTTTAATAAAAATTTAAACACAAAATGCGTCTCCTTATATCTATGTTTAGCTCATATTAATTAAAATAACATTGTGCCGACTTGAAATGAAAGTGTTCATAATCGAAAATTATCATTGCGGGTTATAACAATGAAAGAAAAATGTCTCAAATCTAGAGGCCAGTTAAGGCTCACAAACATTTTCAAATTTTCAATTTATCGTAGTTACTAATACAATATTAATGAAATTATTACTTTGCTTTAAAATCATAGCAATTTGTTATGCTGTGGGTAGTAATTGATTTGTCTGTTAACTGTTTAACACACGACTATTTATTGTAATGCCCTT